AAGCTTACCATATGGCAATCTGCATATTATTATCAGATATACTAGACGAGAAAAGGAAATAATTTCCCATAGTTAGATGTATTCGATTATACAATATAAGTACGCTAGATCGGATCTATATGGTCTATTCTCAATAGGAACAAATAAAGAAAAATATTGCTCAACGTCGATGTAAAGCGCGTGTCAACATCTAAGAAATTAATGTGCATTTAAATTAGGCGTGGTAATAAATAACAAAAAAAATAATGTATTACAACATTTTTTATCATAATAATTTTATGCAAAATACGGTGTTATATAATAACAACATAATATTGTATTTAACCGTAGCGAATTCAGTTGAATAATAATAATAACATCATTCGAATTGCCACCCAACTTCAATGATTTTCACACATCGACCTACTGCAGCATAATATTATATTATTGTTAAAGATAACTGCATATTTTTCTGATGGCCTGCCAGAAATGTGATGTTCCCTTAAAATCATGTGGTACCATTATAATTGTCATTCATCAGTATAAAATGCCGCTATGATAGTATATGCTTGATTTTATCTCGAGATGCCTGTGCAAAGTCTCTCGTTTTGCAGTTTACTAATTGAACTGTAATCAAGAGTTTTTAAGATAATATTCAAACCATAAGTATGCAAACACTGGGTATGTCATATGTGGTTGTCATCGTCATATTATCCTCGAGCTCCTTAATCATAAACGCCCACCAAGTTACGAACCGTTTTCCCTAGAATTCGCTGGTGTGTGCAGGATTCAGCACTTAATAAGTTGTAACACTATATGGGTACTATCGTTGTTAATATTGTAATCAATGGTACCTACTATACATTATCGTAGCTGATATTTAGAGTAAATTTGTCTTCGTTGTTCTTCCGATGTGACTGATCAATTCTGATTGAGCAAGGAAGAAATGAGGAAACGAGTATCATAAAGGTCTCACAGCATAATATCAACTATCAAGGCCAAACAATTTTGTCATTCCATCGCATAACCGGTTTTTCTGTCGTTGTTAACCAACGAGAACATACGCGAGATGCGATTTAGTGATGCTAGTTAGTGTTTACTCGTCCGGCTTTAATTAATAATTTATTTGCACGGGAGAAAATATATTTTCATAACTTTAGCCGAAATGAAAAAAAAAAAAAATGTACACATCATATCTGCAATTCGCAAGTACTTTTTTTCTTCACTAGAAAACTCTTATAATATTATACATATTATATGTGTAATGTGTATATTATAGCTGCAGTTCCTACGTCTCGTCTAAATGATTTAATCGAATGACTCATACTTAATGAACCTAATATAAATTGATCATAGTAAATGACAAATATTATAATTGAACTCAAATCGGACTAAATTGTCAATAATATAGATAATAATACAATATTTGTATAATGACTTATTCTATTATATTATCTTAATATCTTAAACATATTATTATTAATACTTAATTATATTAAATTTGTAATTTTATGCATTTTTGTAGTATTATATATATTTATAATTATTTCATTTAAATTTAAACAATTATTATTATACTATGGTATAATATTTTAATAGTTTATAGTTTTTTCGAAAATGTCAAATTTAATTATTTGAATCATTTGTAAATAAATATATTGTAAACTATCATTTAAACATAATTCAATTCGATATGAGTGAAGATTATATTTGGAAAAAAATACTTCAATACTCAATGCAATAGAGTTATATAATCCAAATGAATCGCAGTGTTTTATGTACGATGTCGTCATTCGTAGGGTTCAACACGTATATAGTATAGAGGATATATTTTATAACAATAATATAATATATTATACTATACGAAAATACTATACCAATTTATTTTTATTTATCGTTAAGTAGTTTCATATATCAAAAAAAACGTCAGTTGTTAAGTACTCTTGTTCGTGTATATGTATATACAATATATTACATAGGCCCATTAAATATCCGACGAGTAATGTAAAGTATAAATCGTTGTTATGAATATATACTTATATCACTCGATTGTAGTATTAAACTTTGTTCCGGACAAATAAATAATATCATTTTACCAACTTTTATCTCGTAGGTACTATTTTCTCGAACCACGCCAACTATTAGCGTTGCGGGTTCGATTAAAAATCGGAAATATCAATCTACTAGTTGGTTTAATTATTATTCGCATTTCGCACGATAAACGATCGAATTTCGATAAGTGAAATGGCCTACTATCGTGCTATATCTGCTTTTACGCGAACACAACTGGTAATAAATCGAAGGGTGGCGATAAGTTTCACGTATATAATAATATTAAATTATGTTGTGTCGCGGCAGTGGCAGCGGCGTATGACAATCATTACGTGCAAAATTTGATTTCACACTCCGTTGGATAGTCAATTGGGGCGGGAATATCAAAAAATCGTTTTCCGTTTTTGGCGCGTATTCGTAACAGCACACTTACAAAATGTCCAATAGTTGAAATATCGTATTTTATATTTAGATAAATTTCAAGTTAATATTACCATATAGTTTACGATAATGCTTGTATGTAATTATTTGCACCGTAGGGCGTTCTGAATATTTAATTAAAATAAAAAAATACAAAGGTATTTTATAGTCATAGACATTAGACATAACGCAAACATTTAAATATTATAATAGTAAGTTCTATATGTAGTATGTACCACTCGCTACCGCCTACCACAGTATAAACGAGTAAATTGAATTAAATGAAAAGTTAAACTAAATCTATTCAAGCCATCAAGGTATTCGGATAATCGAATCTATAATAAGGTTGAACTTTTCTTTTTTTAGACAAAATATTGACGTAAATATTTATTTTAAATAATTTTTTTTCGGACTTTTTTACCGTTTACCCTTTTGAGTACTTATATGCGCTATTATAGGTGTATATGTGGTATAATAGGTCTATATTACAAGTTGCAGTACTAATAGTCATCGCATTATTATTATGACATTAATAACAATAATAGGTACTGAATATTGCAAAAACTATCTCATTTTTCGAAGTGATGAGTGTACGGTGTACCTTCACAGCGATGCATCATGCGCAATACTCAATACGCAGTATTATTATTCATAACAAGCAATAATATGGTATTATTTAATTATTTTAATTACGGCTGTGGTCGTCGAGACGCGAAAAATATATCGACGGCGGCGGCGGCGCTTGTTTATCAAAAGCATAATAATAATAATAAAAATAATATAATATGCGCGCGGGGGATGTCGTGTGTACACTCTCATTCACGGCGGCGGCGCGGCGGCGTCATCGTCAGTCGCGGCGGCGTTGGTGGGAACGAGGTGAGCCGAAGGGGAGGAGACAAGGTCGGATGACTAATGCACAGCGAGAGAGGTTACGATATTATAATATCATACCAGCCGGTTTGTCCGCCGCGTAGTAGTACGACGTGTTTATGCGTTACCCCTCTCTGGCCCCTCGCCGTGTCACTCTTCGCCCCTCCCAGCCCGGGCCTTCCGTGCTCCAGAGGACCGCGTGCGACCGCGCTCGCAGATTCGAACGCCGCCAGTTGCCATCATTCGACTTGTAGTCGCGTAACGTGTCGCACGCAGCCGATCGTAACCGTTTGCCGAAATGTGTGTGGTAAAAATGTATTGTGCGTAGCCTTCCGTGGGCAAACGTTTTCCTCTTCGTTCTCCGCCGAGATACTCTCCGCTGGATTCGCACAGTTTAATAAAATATTGTACTACTATAAACTACTGTAGTCATTGTATTTCAGTAATAATTTTTTTTAACTATAATATTGCCTATATATTATCATACACGTTTTAAATGTTTGCATTGACAGCAGTAATTTTTTAATAACGTTTCGAGTGTTTCGACCTACGATATACAATACGATAATTATATAATATAATAATAATAATAATAATAATAACATTACAAATACTCGTGTCCGAATTGAAGACTGTTGTGTTTGTGTACGTACGCAATATCATCTAAAAGCGCAAGATGACCGCCGCAATAGGACACAAAAAGCTCACGCTCAAGCTCAAGCTGTCCCTGGACGCTTGTCCCACTTGGAGTAGAATCCGTTCAGGTACGCAAATACTATCGACGAATTGACAACGGTCATTTTGAACCCTCCTAATTTTATACGAGAGTCGTCACTGACTTATCGCAATATTGAGTTATAACTTATAATATAATAATAAACAATATTATTATGCCTGTCTAGTATCTACCTACGTACGAGTATATCTGTTTGATTTTTAATATTTTACTGGTATTGGACAGAAGTATGCGCTGACAATAGTTACATTGCCTACGTACCATGCACACGGCTATAATCGAAAATACATTTTAGAACTACAGTTCACACACGCGCACACGTTATAAAACGTAGGATAATTTGAATATTCGAAAAGAAAGTTACATGTCTACTCACAGTTACAATAATATACTCGTATTTACTATAAATAGTGAACAGATAATAATACTATGTTGTATATTTAATTTTTATATACAAACAACGTTGATTAACGCTTTTATTTCTGAAAACCATTAAATGTTTAATGTTACTCCTGACTTATTAAATTACAATTTCCTTGTTTACCCAAACGAAATATAACTTCTAAACCAAGACTGTTTAATTTAGCACTGCATAAACATATTTTAACAACTAGTTTGTTTTAAGACTTGTATTCCGTGTTTGTAAATAAAGCGTTCCCATGTTATTATCGCGTGTACAAACATGTCGATTTTGTTTACAGAACACAATAATTATTGTTTAGATCAATCCGAAAGATTATCGATGTATCAGTCGATTGTTATAAAATTTGCGTATATATTAAGTATAAGGACTCATTGGATACCGACCGATGGTAAATCGGAAATATTATCCTCTCATTATCTCCTCTAATTTTTTTATATCATCGCCCTTGATGGATACACCAATCGCGGTATTTAGTCTCAGACGGTCTTTTTAATACGATTTTTTATTTTTTCTATTCAGGTGGCCACAAAGAATTTCATTCCCGGCATAAGGACATGTGCGAGAATTCCCTGCTGCCAGCGCCGGTGAGCGCCAGCTGCCCTCCAGATGTGGACCGCGAGTCTATGGACACCCACCCTCTGACGAAGGTGCTACCGTTCTTGTACCTCGGTAACAGCAAGGACGCCGACGACCGGGATGGTATGACAGCCATCGGGGTAACCCGCGTGCTGAACGTGACTACGAGCCAACAGTCACCATCCCCGACTATGGACCACCGCGCTTCCGGCGTTGTGTACAAGCGACTTTCCGTCTTGGACAACGGGCATGCCAACCTTAAACAGTACTTCGAGGAAGCGTTCGAATTCATCGGTAAGTCACCGATTACCATATAATATACCGGGCCCTATATCCAAAAACCATCATTTCCAGCTTATGTTATTATTATAGACGGTTCTCCTCCCAAATCGAACACTATATTATCTTTTTCGTTGTATATTTAACTGCTGCAGGATACCGCCGTTTGTGACCCGTAATAGCGCATCAAACACTCTACGATTATAAACGTAGTGCTCGTCATTGTTATTAAACGGTGGTGGTATAGGTTAGGGAGTCATGCTCATAGGGGGTCGCTTTTTCTGCCGCGAAAAAGGGCGGGAAAACAGAAGCCCGCTTCCCCTAATTTTCCGTGGACCCGTGAGTCACGGTGAAGTACAGTGGCAGCTGTATCGTACAAGACTCTCCTACGACTATGCACACGTATGGGTGACGTCATCGCCCGCGTTTGACCGAGTTTTATTGTTTGTATTGTTTTCAGCGACAGCAGTGGTGGTGGGTCCCTCTACATATCGTTCGTGTTGACAACGACGACGTGTCCGCGGACACCCGTCCGGAAACACGCCACCCACCCCCGCCCTTCCTTTTCCTCTTTTGACAAAACAATAACATCAGTCCGACCGGTATTTAAAACCCGTACTTGGAAACTATTAGAGGCGAACACAATTACGTGTATAGTGTATTATTAGGTGTACTATAGCAGTATAGCCTATGGGGTGCGCCCAGAATCCCTTTTTCATATAAGTGGAACCTCCGACAACCGACACACGTCGGCAATGTTTATATTGTTTTTACATGAGACCGGGGAAATGTTTGTGCGAGCGGATTTCTAGACGAGCGCACCGGTGCGGTTGTGTTTAGCCATTTATAGCTCATCGGCGCACGACCTCTCGCGTGAGTCACGTTGTGTTATTATATATACGACGTATATATCCGCTGTATACGCGGCGGAGCTGTTCACACCGATACCACTGCAACTATGATATTGTTCGAGTTGCACGCGCTCGTAAAAATAAATATTTTCGTTCGTCTTGTGAACGTCCAGACTAAATAGATTAACGTCATTCATTTCGATTTGGTCTTTCGCAGTATAAATCACATACATGTATGTTTATAAATATATTAGGTTATTCCCAATTACCCGTCATCGGTGCACCACTTGCCCCTGCTGCTAAAAACTATTACTGCTAATGACTCATATATGTTCCCGGACGTAATGTAATTGCCCCGTGATTGTCACCCCTTTCCGTGGCGTACACATGGCGACAACCCCTATATGATATTCGTGAGGGTACCAGAACTACGCATGACCCGTTGATGTCACAATAGATGACGTCACGGAAGCTCTCCTGTTGCCCTATGGCCTATTATATAATATACATCTAGATAACAGTAGCTATATAGTCCTGCAGGACTATTAATTTCAATAAAACCGTGGGATCCTGTGGTGGCGATGACTTGAGCGTGGAAACTCAAAATTAGATCTCCGCTTGTGCGACCCATATGATTATGACACCATACTCGAAGTGTTGTGCGATGGATAGGGTGGGTGTGTGGGTGCTACGTCGGTTATAACGTACGTAAAACTTAAAATAGAATCACTCGTTTAGAAGTGCGTTTAGAGCCAAAATTAAAACCGTCAGTTTGGACGCACACCGAGATTTGATTTAGCGCTGGACGTCTACCAGATCTCCGACCGCGGTTGTACTTTTATAGCCAAATTCGGGTGCCGCTCGCGACTTGTTTATTTCTGGCTCAGTTGTCTGCTAAAATTAACCTCAAAACATACGCCATAACACCATTTATCGATGGCGGTGAGTCACGTCTTGTGTAGTTTGTGTACAAATGATGGCTACTGCCGTGTGTAAAAAATATTGATGATATCTGCCAATTTTGATTTGTAGGGATTAAACATACTGCACGACCACGCGTCAACGTTATAAATATGATTAATCAATAATAAACTGATATAATAGCATAAATCACGCACCGTAATATCTCGGTTTAATTCCACCCTTCGCCCACCCCTCCTATTATAGATGACCCTCACTGACCGTTACAGAATCGTGCCTGTGTGATTATTCATACTCATCGAGAACTATTTCGTTGTTTTTTTACAGAAGGCGCTCGGACGTCCGGCGGAAGCGTGCTGATACACTGCCAGGCCGGCATATCTCGGTCGCCGACCATAGCCATCGCGTATGTGATGCGCCACCGGAAGACGTCCATGGTGGACGCATACAAGATGGTCAAGGCAGCTCGGCCAATCATATCGCCGAACCTTAATTTTATGGGTCAACTTCTGGAGTTGGAGCAGAGCTTACAGCAGTACGAACAGCAACAACAACAGCAACAACAACAACAACAACAACAGCAGCAGCAGCAGCAACCGCGTTGCGGACAGTCTTGGGTCGCCGCCCAATCCGCCGCAGACGAACTGTCGCCCGGGTTCAGTACATAAAAAAAGGCACCCGACGACTGTACGCACGCACGCTCGCACGTGTTGGCGTTTATGGGTTTCGCGTATGTATGTGCTTGCACGCGTGCGCAGGACAGAGACAAGGTACCGTGTCCCCGCTTCGGGCATGTTAAGATAATATTAAATATAGGTATATGTATAAATGTATAATATATATTATATACGTATACGTATGTGTATAATATTTGTTTGTGTCAATTGCGTTCGAGATATTCCAACCTATTTAATGTGTTCCTAATAATTAGTTTTTCCATTCTCGCGCAAATGTATGTAAAAAAAATTTATATATATTAAATGAATAATTAAAACGAAACTATAGTAATAATATATAAGTACCTATATCTCTATATCTAAATGTATATATAAACTTGCGTACGTATCCGTTTAAGAATGTGAAAGTATATATATATATATTTGTATATTATAACGTACCTATTTGCCTATTATTATTATTATTATTATTATTTTCATTCTCAGCATCATCATCATCATTATTATTATTATATTGTTGTTTGTAATGTTAAGAATAAAAAAAGAAAAACCGTGCCTGTATGAATTCATGGGACATCAAATATTATTATCATACGGCGATTCTGTGCAGCTATAATATAATATATATATATATGTAAACTTTTAGACACGACGTGATGACATCGCTGCATCATACACTGGTGTAGACTTGACACGATTCGAGAAAAACGAGCATTATCTAGTCTTGCAAATTTTGTACATAAGATATAATATGATATAATATACGTATTATTACTCGCTGAGACTACTACTATTTTTTTTTTTTATTAATTACACCATTATTATTATTATTATTATTATATACATAATATATATATATATATATTATTATCATGTATGAAATGTAAAAAAATTGATGTAAATATTATGTTTTTTTTTAACAAAAATTAAAGGCTGTGTTTGTAGATATTATCATAGAATATAATTGATGATGATCATGTACCCCTCCCCCACATATTTTTTAAACTTGAGTCAATATGTAGCATGATGATTTGTATTTTATATTTTACCGTCTAAATACAAAACGAAATCGTTGAAAAAATAATACTATATTGTTGTTAAATTATTGAACTACGTAGGAAATCGTTTTTCTGCGCCCGCGCTGATGTCTATATAGTAACCTACCTGTGCGTATTTTACGCGTGGCGCGACACCGCGAACAACACGCACACTAGTGCGCGTGTGTGGCACATGAATCACACAATCGCTCCGTAGACAATGAATCATGTGTGCATCACATTATAATTTATAATATTATAACTTATATGGGCGTGCGTAATGGAGCGCCTTAAACTGTGAGTGTGTGAGTGTGTACGAGTAATGATTTAAATACATACAAAAATATATGTGTGTGTGTGTGTGTGTGTGTGTGTGTGTGTGTGTGTGTGTGTGTGTGTATATATCATTCATAATAATATATATTACGAGTATGTTCAGCTGCGTAGCTAAGATTTTTATGAAGTAAGGGGAGGGGGAGAATTGAAAATATTAAATGGTAAACAAGTTGTTGTTATTCATTATTTGGTTTTACTTTTTTTACGCATATCTATTTTAATAATTAGTTTTTAAATTGTATTGTCATTAATAAGTAGGCAAATAATATACAGTATCTACTACCTATGGACATTTAAAAGCTTAAAATATTTTATTGTTCAACAATTTATTATTTTGCTCAGTCTAGTGGCCGAAGATACTTCAGCTTTTTTTCAAAAAACTTCAATAGTTTTTTAGAGTTAAGCACATAATACACAAATACCAAATGGTGAGGAGACATGGCTGTTGGTAATTCGTGTTCAAAGTTTCAGTTATATAAGTCTAGATTGGTATACATAAAACAACAATACAATATACTGTATGTGTATATACAATATACATATATTATAATATTATGATCCTAAATCGAACTTAATTTTTCTTTATATTTTCCATTATAAATTAATAATATTATATAATATATAATTATTTTTCAACCATCAAAACAATTTACATTAATACAAAATACCTACTAATTTAGTTAAGATTATCTATCTCTTTTAAGCAGAACTTGTGTAACAGATAGCCAGTAATACATTAATAATTAAAGGCGTATATAGTTTTTAAAATATAACTTAAATAAACCAACTTGTAAGTATTATATAGGATATTCATATTTACATGAAAATAATACGAAAGACTTAAAATAATTGGAAAAACCACCAATAACATACAATTTTTTTTAGTATTATTCAAACGGTGATTTTTTTTAAAAAATTTTTTAACTTATAATAGGTACTTGGTAAGTATGTATTTTATATACACGGTATATATACAAATAATTTACTAATTTTTTTTTTTCATTAATTATTGATATAAATCATCTTTTAAATAATTGTCTCGCAGTGCGTTGTGGTTAGTCGAGGTACGTGCTTGCATGACGGACTCACACTTGCGTAACAATCATGAAGCCCAAACATTCAAGGCGAATATGATAGGTACAGCACTATCGAACAATCTTGCACATTATATTATTATTACACCAATGGCGAATATATGGGGCGGCTATATTGTTTGCATATTGTTTCATGTATATTATATTTTATTTTATTATATCCACGCCACGTGGCCTGTACCTAAAGTTTTTGGTTTTCTGGTAATCTATAATATGAATTATGAAAATTAGAATTTAAGTTGTATACTTTCCGATAAGAGATAACTGATAACCGCCGTCCATCAATGATTGAGTTATGTTTACATCCGACGATGGTGTGTTATATATTTTAGAAATTGATTTCCATTCACTGTTCTTGTATTTACACTGTTTAGTGCTTACAGTAATTCTTCAATACTAGATTGATTAAAAACGTTTTTGAGGAATTAATAAGGAACATTTTAGATTGTCAGGACTGGCTTTGATGATAATGCATCATAATAGAACATTAATGATGGATGCAATTGTCAATAATAAAAAATATATATATAAAAATGCATTTTACATAATCTTTAACATAATAATAAATATTTATAAAAACAAAATTGCTTAATCTTTATAATAATTATAACTACTCGTCTCCCGAGATATTTCTAGATATGGCTATAATAGAGCTATGCTTGATTAGTGGTAAATTGGCCCATACTGAAAATAATTTCGATATGCCCTACTGTCTTACATTAAAATATTAAACTACTATCATTAAGAATATATTACTACAATATTTTTAAATTAAAAGCAAAATACAAATATTACATATTTATTACATATTATATTATTATGTAAAATATATTATAACTCAACAACTTAACAAAAACGATAATAAATTGTCTTGCTTTAATAATCGGCTATACATAATAAGCTCTGAACGCACCAATATTACAATAACAATAAATAATTATCGATTAAGAAATCAATAACATATAGGATACTTAACCTACTTCCTACTTCATACTTTGATTCAGTTATAACTTATAGATCATAACAGAACATAGTCACCATAATATTGTGTTGATGTGAAGGTTGCCACTCCAATTTTTAAGGACAGGGGATCTGGAGGGGGGGGGTCTATCGATTTATAAAATATTTATATTATAAAAGGCGAGTGTGTGTGTGATTGTAGAATAAAGACTGAAAAACTACTCGATCGATTTAAAAAATTTCAGAAATTATTACCATTTATAACTTATAGGTATACGTCCGATTGGTTGGCGCTGAAAAATCTATTTAAAAAAAAATGTTTTTGTCGATTACATGTCATACGAACTAGCTACTACTACTATACATTATTTTCTAACAACAATAACAAGTACCGTATTTTAAAATTGTCTATTTACGCAAGCGGAGGTAGGTACACCTAAACCGACTAGACCATGAAGTTATTATGATTTATATTCAAACCGAAATACAAGCCAAGCGATGTATCCAATCCACCGCAATCAGATTGCCCGCTTCAGCCGGGGTGGGCAATGTACCACAAATCGAGGTGCGTTGACACCGAATGCCTTTTTTATAATTGTTGATTTTCTACTGGGCTAAGTCAGGAAATATAGCTGGTATAGTATTATAATAGCCAGGGGGTCCCTTTTGGGGACGTACCACCAAAGAAAATAAAAAAATTATTTCTATGGTCTATGAATGTTGCAGAAACCGAAACCTGAAATTAAACCTCGGTGTCAGAATGCTGTACTTATGGGTGCAGACCCTAGTTAAACCAACTCTGTGCTGTAGTAAACACATTATCAGCACCCCCCCCCCCCCCCCAAGGCCCCAAAGGAAAATCCCGACCGTACTCAACTGAATAAATTATACTCCGGGATTCTATAACCTGTGCCTATGGTGTGGTCCTCACTGATCGCAATCAGCTTGGAGAGGAATGGTCATCATGTATCGTGGTGCATGTTCATTTACGGGTAAATACTAAATATATTTACGGTGTCGTGATTGGACCGTATACAAATGCCAATTATGCGCAGCCATGTAGCTAATACTATTATATGATGTATGGGCTAAATACATACTATATACGCATGGATACGGTGTGTGCGGGAGGGAAACTAAATCACGGTCGAGTTACCGCTTTATAAAAAACAGTTTTGACCGGTTTTTCCTAAATGTATCCTATTTTTTATGATATATTTTTAAAACATCGTTTTGATCAGTAAATTTACAACACCTACATTTTATCTTTGAAAAAGTATCGTTCAAACGAGTCGAGCAATCACTAACCAACAGTGACTTTTTTATTTTTATTAAATTATAAAGTTTTCCTGACTAAGTTGTCTAAACCTAGTGTTTGCATAGTATTTTTATTTTATTTTTTTTTGGCTTTTCTTTCAATTGATAATATGCGAGCGACTCGTTAGTTATTTTATAGTTTTTTCTGGCACGTGCTGTATGTACAATATATATTATAGATGTATTTAATACATAGTGGTTAGCCGGCATTATTCGTTTTGTATATTATACATTTTTTAATCATGATCCGGTTTTGTTGCGTCAAACATTTCGCGATGTCCATTTGTCGTTGTTTACAATATACCATATTTATTTAAATGTATTACAATGTAATTTTAATGTTTTTGTATGCAGTACGATTTGAGAATTTTGCTAAAGACTGATATTAAGACGATTTTAGAATTCCAACAACAAAAGTCGATATAATACAATATAATACATTAATACCTATGATAATAATACCATTTTTGAACTTGTAGGTACATAGGCGGATTTGGGATTTAATTTTTAGCGGTCCTTTGGTCTATATAATAGAATTGTTGTTGCCAACCGGTTGTAAAGACTGTGATAATAGTTGTAGTAGTAGTAGTACTAATGCTTTAGTCAGCATCAAAATTGGCCATTTTTAAAGATATTGTATTTTTTTATTTTTAAGTTACTATAACTGGTAAAGTATACCCACTGTGTGTATGTATTATAAAATTGCACGATTGTGCCAATAATGTAAAATAAACTGTTGTGATCCATCCCGTGAGCGTGAACTCAAGTGCATGGGTGACCCGGATGGATAAAATTCCGACTCGGGTCCATCCCTCCACCGTTCCGCTGCAGTGTGAATAGACGGAGACTTAGCAGTTGCACATAGAACTCGCGAGAGGAACGGTTTATAACGGTTATGACTTGTTTTTCTCGTCACAATACGCACTGTTTGCCCCACACTACCATAACCCACTCGGTAAAAAAACGATGAGATATAAACCGCAGCACCAGACCACCAGAAGCAACGTTCCGTCTTAGCTGATCACTTTTTCGGACGCTGAATT